GCTAAAAAATGTAAATGTCCATTACAAAGCCTCTATGCCTTTACATGTATGTGTACTTGAATTACTAACATAAACGTGGGCAAGTTTGCAAAACCAGAAACTTTGCAAATTTTACAACCCTCAAGCTGTCCACTCCCCGAGAGTTTCTTCCCATGAATATGACCATGACCATCATTGATTTTTTTCCCAAAAGTTTCATCTTTGTGATATTTTATTCTTTGACCGACCATCTTAACCTGTACTTGTACCTCTGGGGCATGTTTCACAAAGCCTTTTTTCAATAACAAATGACAAATATCAGTGACAAATCTGCTGATAACAAATCAGAAGCAAGGATTTCAGTAGCTTATTATAACATAAACTGTCATTTGTCACTGATGACAAGTTTTGTGAAACGCACCTCTGGTGTGAACATGCTTTTCCAATGTTGTTTTCACCTGCATTCCTTGGCTTTCCAATCCCATTGTGTCTGAGCTACTTATGAACATGCTCACTAAAGGCGTGTCTGCACTATCTCGAGATTGCCAAATATCCAGCTATTTTGAACTATCCCGATCGAAACTATCCAGCTATTTGCGTCTTCATTAGACCGAAGTGGCAAATTAGCTGGATAGTTGGTCGGGATAATATCCCAAGATATCTCGGTCTAGTTTGCAAAATATCCTTCTATTTCCGAACTAGCGGGATAGTTTGCGACCGTCTTCATTAGACCGAAGTACGGAGTCAATTATCCCGATCCCATCATGCACAACGATTTCCGGTTCGCACATGCGATCTATACCGCTCAGCGCTGACCTCGCAACCACTGACCTCGAGTAAACACGGAAAACCGCAAACTAGACCGAGATATCTTGGGATATTATCCCGACCAACTATCCAGCTAATTTGCTACTTCGGTCTAATGAAGACGCAAATAAGCTGGATAGTTTGCGATCGGGATAATTCAAATAGCTGGATATTTGGCAATCTCGAGATAGTGCAGACACGCCTTAAGTGAGCAATCCTTCCAATCCATGCATGCTGAATGCCCTGAAGACATCTCAGCACAGCACACCTAGTTGATTCATTCAGGTTTCCAGAGAACCCCTGTCACACCGACCGATGAGACCGAGTCCAGACCGACAGAACTCGAGATTATGTTATTCCTAATCAGTTATTCGAAAATCAGAAAAGAGCCTCCATAAATTTGCATAGAGTTCAATGCAAAACATTTTATTTTCATGCAGGCATGCTTGAAAGTAGCCCCAGAAAAATAAATATAATTTTTTTCCCTGTAACTCAACTACTCACAAAGACATGACCGAGGCCAGAGAGGCCAGACCAACAAATCAATTTTGATATTATCATATTACCTTACTCTGAATGGCCAAAAATTAGTTTTGGAGTCAGTCTGCCTGTGTGACAAGGATTTTCATCATAATCTAGACATATCGCCAAGACCAACACCAGATTGATAACAAATCATTGAAATTACGTTACACATATTGGCCAAAAATAGGTTGGTTTGGAGTTGGCTTGTGACTTGGTTTGGAGTTGGTGCGACTGAGGTATACATGTAATACCAGCGACTTACTTCACCCCATTGAACATGTACAGAGCCAGGAATGTGAACCTTTCTTTCACAGGCAAGCAGAGCTCTAGAGAAGGCATCCCAGAGGGAGATCTAGCAGGGGTCAAGATACTTTCTACTCTCAAAACCTGCACTTGACCTGAGCCAGCCAGGACACAGCAGGGTCTGTTCACATTGTATTGTACAAGCCCAACCTTGAACATATCAACTCAAATGTGTTTAAAGAGAAGGTTGAGTTCTGGGAAGAGGTGAAAAATAATTTGTGAGCATTACTCATTCTTATTATGCAAGTGTGGAAGAAAATCAGTTAAGACATGTTCCCTGAAAAGCATGGCTCTCCAAATGCCTTCATATTCTAAATATGCATGTAACATCGTAAAAATCGGGGGGCCAGCTTTTTACGCCACGTGTTCGTGTAGTCCCATATACATCTTTCTGTGCAAGTGTTTGTAACTTTACCAAGACTTGGCCAAATTTCTTATCATTTTGATGATTCCAGAACCTCGCAATACACACAAATTCTTATATGCTAGATGATCAACCTTTTCTGGTCGGTTCCACACCGTTTCTTTCACAATGCAATCGCATGACCAGAACTCAACTTCATCTTTAAAAACGTTTGGGCAATAACACATCAACACATCCATGTTTCAAGTTTCCCTGTACATCACCAGTCATACCTTGTACCTTGTAGAAATAATCCCGATGGCAGCTTTATATCAGACAGCTATACTGGGATGTCCATGCAACATGCCGGCAAAGTGACAGTGCATGAAATAATTCAAAACCATATTCATCAAAATGCTTTCTGTCACTCTTCTCATGTTAATACTTCCAGATATTATTACAAAATATAATACCGGTATAGGCCATTTATTCTTGTTGAAAGTACACCTAAATGTAGGCCAACATACTGTAAGTGAAGTGATGAGATAAAGGTTGGTCATGGTGGAACAATGGCATGCCAGCTTGAAGGAAGTTGTACATCTAAAGAGGTGTATCTGATTTCCTGTGGATGTCCTGTCCTATATTTAAAACAGGAGGCTGATGGGCAACTAGATCCTACAAGCCATTGTCACTTGTCTTGATGATTGTGGTTTAAATATCTGTATAATACCCCATTCACAGTGGTTTTGAAATTTGTAGCGGCGTTGTAGCGGAGCGGCGACACCGCCATAACACCGCTACAAATGCATTCACAGTAGAAAAGTTATCCCGCTGCAGCAGCGGGATAAATATCATGTACCCATTCACGCTGCAGCGGGTGATTTTTATTACCTCCGTAACAAACACGTGTATGCATGGCTCATGACCCGCGAGTGACCCCGATATGACCGGAAATACTTCAGCGCGGGGTTTTCGATTGCTTGAAATTGCGCGCGCTAGCTGTACTTTACACACTTTACGTTACTTTTTAAAAAACTAGCATTTTTATTGCTTCCAGTCAGAATATTTTAATTTTTTGAAGTGTGAAATATTTTTATTTGGATAATTATAATATCTACATAATAATAAAATCAATGTGAATCCACTGGTTACTTTATTTCTATTTCACTTTATGTTCCCCATTGCTGGATAAAAGAGGTCAGTGATAGGTAAGTAAACAAATCACACGTGTTTGTCGCGGTGTTATAGCGGAGAGCCTTCACACTGAGTAAACACCGCGACAGCAGCGGGACTGTCCCGCTGCTGTAGCTAGGCGTGCCTAGCGATAGTTTGTGTCGGCGTTATCGCTAGGCGGTGTTATCCCGCGATAGTTTATAACGGGTCCGAGCCTTCACACTGAAGACAACACCCCGACAGCAGCGGGACAGTCCCGCTGCTGTCGCGGTGTTTGAGGCCACTGTGAATGGGGTATAATTTTCTTTTAGTCTCTCTCTCTCTCTCTCTCTCTCTCTCTCTCTCTCTCTCTCTCTCTCTCTCTCACTCTGGTGTTCTGTCAGAGGCAGGTCCACACACCAGAAACTTTGTTAATTCCTTCTCCATCCCCCTCTTTATTTAGCCTTCCTCTTCATTACCGGCATGTATGTCATATGATCTGTCATCTACCAAGTCTGACACCATCTCAATTCTTGGTCTTCCTCTTCCCTGTTATACCATCTATCTTCCCTTCCAAGATGTCACCGAGTATGTTGTCCCCCTTTAAAGATGTGTCCTATCAGGTTTTCTGTTTCTACATGGTTCATACAGTCATGGGCAATTAGTTTTATGTAGGCCTTTGTGTAACTGTTTGTTAATCTCTCACTTTAGTTAACTATTAAAACCGTTAATTTCTTGCTTTTGTTTATTCAATCAAATTCATCTTATAATTATTGTCAATTTTTTTTTTAATGAAATTACAATTCTTGCAGTGTTCTGCCTGTTGGTTGCCATTGATCAAATCCTTTATTCTTTAGCATAAATCCACCGGTATATTTCACTTGAACATCCACAATCCCCCCACAAATAATTCATGACCAGCTCAAATTGACAAATTTGTCAGTACAAGTAGTCAAGTACCAAAGCACTAAAGCCTAGCAGTGATCAAATTACAGACATTAATCCCGTTACTTGTACTTTTTCTTAAGTGGGCTGTCGTGTCAAATTTCTGAACATGTAGTTTTTATTTTCTGTACAAGTAATTGTCATTTTAGTTAGATTATCATTATCACAAAAACATGAATAAAATATTCAAATTTAACATAACATTATATCATTCTTCAACTCCTACACCCAAGTCCCAAATGCAGTCAAACAAAGACCAACATGTATTATTGGTTTACCTAATTGTTTATTAAAATATGTTGCCACGGCTGCAGGAATTTGTATTCTATCAACTAATCTGTTTGCCTGTCTTTTGAACTTTACTTTGAAAGGTGACAAATCTTGCATTAGAAATAGAATCCTCTTTATTAGGAAATGGATTTCCACTAATAAGTTTAGGATACATGCCAAAAAATAATGACAAACATGACCAACGAGTTGCTGCAATTTCACATAACTTTATCAGCAGTCAATTTCATGATACCGCTATTTAATTCAGTGTCAAGCGAGATGATCATAATTCATGCAACAACAATTGCATGAAAGCCATGATCGTGACCACTACTACCAAGCATGCAAGCAAGTCTTACTCAATTAAAGATTCGACTTTTCGTCTAACGGTCAACTGTAACATGATCTTCCAGATGTCATTCAAAATTACCGCAATAATCCAGCCCTATTCATGACTTGTATTTGTATAATCTCAATGAGAGATCGTCCATTATCATCCCTGCATTATCGACCGGCTGATGAAAGGCTCCATGAAAGGACGCACTAGACTGTGCGACGACAATTTACAACACAGTGAGCGAATGCGTGGGAACTATGTATTTCCACCACGAACAGAAAATATGACAGCGAGATGCTTCTAAATTCGACGGGGTAAATCCGCCGAATTCTTACTTACGTTAATTCTGAAAGACCCGATTGAACATCAATAGAATCAATCCTGCGTTCATCAACTGTTTGTCATAGATATATCCAGTATAATCCACAAATTAGGCAAAATGGTTTCTCGCTGAAAATGTGGAGCAGCTTCATCGACTCAACGACTCACACGGACGCACACACGATGTACGAGTGCGAAGGCGCGCCGTACCGTAGCGAATGCACGGAATACATGGAGAGGTTGAGCGCGCGAGCGAGCCATGGGTGTAGTGTCAACAAGCTGTTTGACCGCACCTGGCTTGCCAGGGGCCTGGATAGAGCAACTCTCGTGGTCCTCTCTCACGGTCAAGATAATCACGAATGGGTTCCGAAGTAAACGCAGTTAATAAAATAAGAAAGTTAAGAAAATAAACACAAAGCCAAAATATGTTCAGCCTTCGTGTTTTCCTTATCTCACGGAGGTAAGTCCGGAGAAGCTAACAAATAGAAAATAAAAGGAATGCAATAGTTGTGTTCAATTTTAAACGGCGATGGGAAACATTGTCGAAACAAAACACGTTTATACATTCGTCGTAGCATTTGATTTTTATTTTCTTTTCCTCCATTGTGTAAGCCCAGATTTTAGAAGAAAAAAAAAAGATATTCATCATATCCTTTAGCTCAAACTGGAACCTGGGTCATCTCTTTTTGTCATTCATTCTTAATTCATAAAGATACAGCACATGTTTTTTTTTTCCATATCGTGTGACCTAGTTATGATTGACCCAGCTTGGCTCTTTGTTTACATTGTGTGCGCAGCGCTAACATTCCACGGCGCGTACATACCACAGCGCGTACAACAATCACTTTAATTGTTATACGCGCAAAACAACAATCGTTTAATTATTATAAGAGCGCGCGCATTAAAGTTCGTTGACCATGACGCCCGAAACTATTTATGTCGCGTGTATTCTTAAAAATGGTTGCCATTGGCATTGCAATAATAAAATGATACATATATTTCGCGGCCATGGCTACATCATTTTTTTTTTTAACATCATGTTCATGAAATAAAAGTGATTACTTAACATTTTGGTGATACATAATGGTCTCTTGTATTTCGGTAAGGGTGCACTGTTTGTAGACATTTAAACAAATTGTACTCCTCCCCTGCTCTAAAACATGGATTTTTGGCTAAGTGTGATTGGCCCTCTTAATTTCTTTCGATTTGCATACACGACAGACTTTTAATTTCATTTACAGTTTCACTTTTACAATAAAAATGTACCGGTATGCATCAGAAAATATGTCACATGAGTTCAGTTGACAGAATTAATGTAAAACTTTTTTAAACCCAAATTTCTCAGTAAGGGAGGGAAGATTTTAAAATTCTCATGATATGATGTATAAAGTGTTAAAAGGTAATAATTCTTTTTTTAAATCATAACACAAACGATATCGATATATATTCATTCATTCATTTATTTACTTTGCTTTGGAAATATCAGAGATTACGTTCTTCAAACAAAAGGAGTCCTATCTTTTGATCCTGCAACATTTAAGTTCATATCGTCCCTACATACATGTACATGATATAACAGGAAACAAACATTCATCAACCACAACTCATTCTTGTGGAATCTAAAACCTTGCCATCTAGCTCCAGACATCTCATCGCCTTGTTGATGTTGAAAGGGACACCTAGCAACCGTTGCTACGATGACACAACAGAGAAGTCATCTAACTGGATGGGGCGAGTTCAGATGATGAGCCCGGGCAAAAATAAGACAGTAGATAACATAACGGGCTGAGGGACTTGAATAGTAGGTCCACAAGTCTTTCTGTGTTAAGATATAAAGATCTTAAACTCAAATTCAATTCCGGTAGTCGCTGTTTGACATGTTCTAAACATGTGGTAGCGCTATTAATTTTCATAAGCCTAATATAACATCAAAACATGTGATTAACCTTTATCAAAGCTCAATTAGTATCACTTCAAAAACCCTATTAATCATGATTGTGGTCTTCTGTGTACCAGCATCATTATCTCTTGGATAGTTCATTATCAGATCTGGTATCAAGATCTCATGCACACTCTCTATTGTTTGAGATGGTCATTAACCCTGACCATATTGATTTACAAGGCCATTCTTATCCAGCCTTTTAAGACCAACAATACTACTGGGCCAGAAGGGATTAGACCACACAGCGAGGTCACTGATAGGTGGCTATCTCATTAACTCAGCTCTCAACTAACATAAGAAAAAGAGGATCATGGGGGACCAACAGGCACCGATTGGGGAAGTTTTCTATATAGAGGGGGCAAGTAGCTACAAGTAGGACAGTGGGGCTTTAAATACGAAAATAAAGCCTGATCCAGATTGGACATAAAGGTTGTATGAATATTGAAGTGGTTTTTTTTTAATTGTTCCTGGCCATCCATCCATACATCCGGTTGTAGGCTCAACTATATCTCATTATTTCCTTTATTGATTATAACAGGGAATTATTTCTATCAGGCCTGCAATATGTTCATTGTTCTTGGATTAAAAGCAAAACAATTTGACAATAGGGTTGTGTGTGTGTATTTATTGGTCACTTTTTCTTAACTTGTGGTAATTGACAGATTCAAAAATCTGTACTTAAAATGATAAGTAGTGCAGCATTTAGAAGTCTTATTTACACAGGACAGTCCCTTCAGGGCTCAAATACTGTATTTTTGTTTAGCCATGTAAAACATTAACAAAAACAAATATATGGTGGAAAACGTTTGATCAGATGATGCGCTTGCTGGTTTAAAATTAAGGGTTTATAAGTGAAAAAAGGGTGTTCATTTGTAAGTATCATAAAGGCAAAGCAATGTCAATCTACTCTGGTATTGGGTGTAAACCTACAATGCAAGAGAATAATGTGAGATGGAGTCTGGAAGTTTAGACAAGCTTGGCCGGCCGGGTCTTCTCCTGAGCTCGAAATAGACACTGACCTTAGCGATTCCACCTGGGTAACATCAGCTATGCCTGGAGGTAGGATGCTACTAGTTTGCAGGCACAAACCCTTGTCAGTCATAGCGGTAGAAGGCCTGTCCTCATCAGACCAAAGTTGCTAAATAACCCACTATTTTAACTAGCCCTAACTCTCATTAGCAAGCTGATTTGCGTCTTCATCAGCCTGCAGTTGCAATTAGCTGGCGTTTTGGTCGAGAAATATCCCAAGAAATCTTGGTCTTGTTTCCAAATTTGGGAAATAGCGGACTAATTTGGGCCTGTCCAAGCTACTTTGTGACGAGCGTATCGGTCTGGTCATGACGCAATTTCGAGTTTCGGGAAAATATCCCAAGTCTGAAAAAGCAGGTTTCTTTGCAACTTCGGTCTGAAAAAGACAGACCTATTGGCCCGGATTCTCAAAGAGGTTTGTCGACATACCTCCTCTGTAAATTCGGGCCGCAATGTCTGATCTGTAAGACTTCGTAGACTACATGGTGTACTGCACTCCATAGACCCTCAACTGGAATTGACACAGACTGATATTTTAAGGCTCGACTCGAGACTCATGGTCCCCGTAGTCTATTAAACTTTAAACCTGACACTGGGTTAAATATTTTGGTTCGAAACTGGGTTTAACAAAAGAAGTTATTCTGAGTGGGGTCTAAGTTTTCCTTTGTTAAACATAATCTTTGACCCAGTGTCAGGTTTAAATGAATTAGAAGTATACGGGCCATGGAGTCATGTATAAGAGTGAAATTAAAGTCTATACCCGCAGACTAAGCTTTGACTGCAGGTAGAATCATGGACCTCTTTAAAGTAGATCCATGGTAGAATGCTCTCATCCAGACAGGGGGATGCACTTTTTATTGCACTCAGATGGAAGCATCAGTGCGATGTACCCGTTTCTAATTCAAGAGGACTCCAAATTAAACTAACCCAATTTAATCATAACAGTCGGTTGTATCATTGTAGAGATATGGTAAATTATTTATTATGAGGCTTGTCTGGCATTTATTAGTAAACATGTCTGGTAAATTTGGTGAAAGCATGGAAGCCATGTCCTGATTTAAAATGAGAAAAAGGGGTGAGGTGAATGAAAGGCCTACATGGTGGCTGCGTGAACTAAAACAACAACAGTTGGTATCAATTAAGAAAAAGACAGCTTAGCATTCATTGCTTGGTTTTACAGGCACTGACATGTAAATTGTACTAATCACCTGAAAACAATTTGTGTATAGCTAGAATGTATAAAAGTAAATCTAAAAACCTTAACTGGTATACCGGTAGGTCAATGGTTAAGGAGTACCGGTATAATGAAAATAGAGGATAACATAAAACTCAACAAGACCTTTTACTGTACACTGAAAATGTATTTAAATTGCAACATTCCTTTGTAGAAGTTATACAGTCAAACCTGCTGTAGCGACCACCTATATGGAAAGACCACATTTTTCCCCCCTTGAATATAGTTTTCTGTTGATGCCTGTACTTAAGGAACATGTAAATAAAAATAACCTGAAAAAGGTATATAGAAAGACCATTTTTCATGTTATCCCTTGAGCGGTCTTACAGATTTCACTGTATTTTTTTAAGTTCATATTCTGAATACAGTATTGCCACATGCACATGGAACCCCTTACATCAGGAGCAAAACATAGTTTGGTGATTGGAATACTTACGGCTACTTTGTAGCTCTTAAAAAATCTTTAGTTGATGTAACAATATTCAGCAAGCCTGAAAAACATATGTGCAAGTGAAATTGTTATGAAATAGTTTGGTTTCTCTGTAGTACAGATTCACATATATACTAATAATCAATCACATTTTCATATTGATTACTCCCTCAAAAGAAATCCACCTATCTGAGCAGAATCCATCAATCTAACATACATTTTGGCATACAATCACATGTAATAGTACATTCTAAATCTTCTCGGTTCCATTGTATTTTCATGGTCAATCTTTATTCCAAACAACCTATAAAGAAGAGGCGGACACCATCAATCATCATACATTTTGGCATACATGTAATAGACTACATTCTAAATCTTCTATGCTCTATTGTACATTCATGGTTAATCATTCAAAGAAGAGGCGGAACAAGGATTTTTTAACAGTTGTTTGCTTTCAAAGAAATCACAATTCACAAGGGATATATATGTTAAGACAAAAGTCTGTGCATGGTTGAAGCTGTGTTGATACACCACTTTCGCGCCTGTTTTGATTCAAATTTGAATACCAGGGGTTAGGGACGAGCTTGTTAAACAAACCCAAGCGTCCATGATCAATCAAGTTACATTGCGAGTCATGAACTAGTGCAAACATCCTTCTCTCTCTGATCAAATATCACACAACAAATAATTGCCTGGACGCTATGAAAACCATCCATCATGCCAGGTCTGTTTGGAAAAGGCGACCGGTTACTTCAGCATTCTGGCGCAACATCAATGTACCAACCCAAATTATTATCTTTGCAGCTTATATTTTCACAGGAAAGTAGCTGTGAATAGCAATCTCTGCACTTGTTCATGCTTGCATTTCATTAAAATGCTTCATTCATAGAAAGAGGCGTGAGAGACAGGAGCTGAGTTTTTGTAAAGAAAAAAGTGGGTGGCTCATTATCCACCTTTAATACATCGAGACAAGATGCAAACATTTTGTCACCTCTTTCTATACATCACGCCCACTCACTAGACATGCTATACAAAGCTATTGAATCCGAGTTTCTCATGCCGCCCGCCTGCCAGCCCGTCAGGCCGTTTGATTAAATAAAACCTTTGAACCCAACCGTTACAAAGTCCTCCATCGTTCTCAATTAGAAACGGAGCAATTTATCTCATAATGATAACTGATATAAAGATCCTGTAATGCTTAAGCTTATATTTGAATCAATTTACGAGAATTGATCACATGGTCATAGAAGTAAGGAGCCATCTGTGTTTACATTGTACATGTGACTGAAAAAAATAGTTTTTAAGAGCAAATGTAGAGAACAACAAGACAAATCTGGTACAATTGTTATTATGTAAATCAAAGTAAAAGAAACACATACTGGTAGGCATTTAAGAGTTCAAAATATTTACATGTAATTGGAAGCCTATGGGTGAATAATTGTGTATCCAGTTTCAAAAAAGAAGAAAAAATCAAGGTATTGTATTTGTTTGTCTGTGATAAAAATGATAACAGGTGTGAAACATTTCTTCACCAGCATTGTACTGATGTGAATATAGATATCATCTGATAACAAAATTAATCAAATTTTTTGCTCATGACTACATAAACTTCACATGAAGATGTTCATGTACATGAGATTCCCTGCCTGGCTCATTAATGATACATCATGAAATAATGAAGAATGAAAAGCGACACTACTGTATGTAGGAATACCCATACTTATCTGATGAATTATATTCATTACACAATTTGTAAAGTGGGATGATCAATTTATTATTTGTGACAAGCAAGGGATGAAATTCATGCAGCAAAAATAAATGATCTCTGCTTGCATAAAAAAGCACAGCAAGCATCAACTTTGTAGGACAGATGTAACAGGTTTATCTCTTGGACTGTTTTCTAAAAAATTTAAATCTTGTTGACTGGGAATGTCTCTGTGATGAAATTCATGCAGCAAAAACAAATGATCTCTGCTTGTATAAAAAAGCACAGCAAGCATCAACTTTGTAGGACAGATGTAACAGGTTTATCTCTGGGACTGTTTTCTAAAAAATTTAAATCTTGTTGACTGGGAATGTCTCTGTGATGAAATTCATGCAGCAAAAACAAATGATCTCTGCTTGTATAAAAAAGCACAGCAAGCATCAACTTTGTAGGACAGATGTAACAGGTTTATCTCTGGGACTGTTTTTTAAAATGTTCAAATCTTGTTGACTGGGAATGTCTCTGTGATGGATTCACATTCAAAGCATAGTCTGACACTTCAAATTGAAATGTTCTTTCTGACTATGTCTGCTGCACAGCCCACGTAAAGATATTGTTGGTAGATTCGATCCAGAAAATGTAATCACTTTATGAACAGGTGGGCTGCAACCAGCAAAGAAAAATATAGTCAGGAGCAGTGGGCGTTTTTAGGGTGCATTCAAGTTATTTTTTAAAGCTAGAATCGCGAACATGAATCACAAATCAAAACGCCGTTAAAAAAACATGGTTACTGCGGGAGAGCGTTCAAGCGATTTTTCATCAATGCTGAATCTCGCTCATTTCAAGCCCAGCCACTGCTCATCACACTGTGCAGTTTGACCCAGGTAGTATAGGTCAACTTCGCTGCGTGCTTTCTGTCAAAATGCATCTTTTTCAGCGATTCATGTTTGCGTTTTTAAATTAATTTTTACTACCGACGAAAAATCGCTTGAATGCAACCGTGTTTTAAACTAGACGTCTTTGAAAACCGTGTTTCTAGGGTGAAAAAGTGTCGCTTGAATGCATCCTTACATGTAGCTCTAGAAAGTTCTAAAATAGCTCTGGTAATCTCCCCCCCCCCCCCCCAAAAAAAGGAAGCTCTGGTTAAAAAAAAAAAAAAAGGAGAAGAATACATACCAGTTTTAGAAAGGATATCAAGGATTTATTGAAGCCAGAATGAGGTCCCACCATTTTTTTTTTTTTTTTTAAGGTTGTCTTTTTCCCTGTGACAACCTCTAAATCAATATACCAGGACAGTTTTAACTATTTTTAAATTCTGTAAGTATGAATTAATACCTTCTGGCTCTCAGCAGCCATTATCAAGCAAAACATCCCTCCTAAGAACTGTTTTGTCATTACGCATCAGAATGTAATGAAGAAATATATAACTTAGAGAAGCTTACAAAAAACACAATAGCTTACAGAAAAAGCAAAAGAATATTTTGTTATCAGTGTCATGAAGAGTAATGAAGTAAATTGAAGTAAAAGGGAAATAAATTAGTCATAATAAACCAAAGATTAATAACAGTAAGCCAAAATGAAATCCAACTCATATATATTTCAACATGTTCCACGAAATGATCTGTTTAAATTAAGTGGGTGATGAATTTAGTGAATGTGGTTAGCTCATAAGATCATGTTTGTATCATCTATCATTAGAATAAACATTGGAAATGCACGTAAGCCAAGATGCCACTCAAATTGAGCTGGATGTACAGGTAGGAGGGGTATGAGTTTTGCTCTGGCTTTATCTATGAGTGAGACGCAATCGCTCAGTGGTGAACAAGGGGTTCGAAACTATGATTCTCCTTACCAAGTCCCTCGGAGAGGACTTAAAGCCATCGGTCCTCTGGGTGCTTTCTAATATGACATGGACCTAGGTCCATACTTAGACACATACACATGCTTTCTTAATAGCAGCGAGGTAAAACAAACCAACCGACCTTCAACAATCTATGTTATGGTATAATATAGAAGGGGAAGGGTTGCATTTGGTCATTGGTTAGGTTTAGGTTTAGGGCTATATGTTGCGTTTGGTCCAGGTTTGAAGTTAGCCATTCAGTAATAGTATAGGGAATTCACCTCAGAACAATCACCACTAGAGCATATGTCTCATAAAACCAGATGTACATGTAGGTCGTATCCGCAAAGTATTGGTAGCATTTCTGACTATAGCTTTCATCAATGTAGATGGGAGAATGTCATCAATGCTGTGTGCAAGTGATGTGTTTCAGGAGTGATTAGAATCATTAATATATCCCTGCGCTATCCTTCACTTCCGTTTCGCCCCCTTTCATTCCACCAGTCGTACAGGTATATCACTTTCCACAAATTGCAATTAGCCATGATTGGATATCAATGCAAGCGAACAGCCGAACAGCAAGAAAATAGTGTGTAGAAATTAAAAGTACTGAAGCATATTGCATTAACATTGAAGTTCACGTAGCTCTTCGCTATTTACACAGTGTTTATTTTTGTTTTTGTAGAACACTTATTTCGTGGAGACAATACATTTGCTTTTGAGAAGGTATTTTTCTTTTTAATTTGCTTTTCAACTCACATTGAGCAAACTGACATGACACAAAACATCTATTGCTCAAGTGTATAGCCTATAGTATGTGTGTCAGTATACCAAACCAGCAACAACAACAACAACAAAATTCCAAAGCAGCAAAATTATTGTATCCCCAACATGTATTGATTTCTTTTAATTACAAAATCTAAATGAATCCAAATAATCCTGCAATATATGTATTCGTGCTCTAGAGAATGGAGTTATGTTTTTGGCTTTTTGCCCACCATCACTGGCATCCCCTTCTCACATACTGTACATGTATACATGGCAAACGCATCTATAGCGAACACATCAAAACCACATATCAGGATCAACCCGTGATATGTAAATGGACTCGACAATCATTTTTCTCTAACATACAAGGGTGAAAGAGATTATTTTTTGCTCGGCCTCCGTAGGCCTTTTGATCGTGACTTGAATCCCGATTCATTCTGAACTGTATGCACAACTATGTGCCTAATCTTCAGAGTTATATAGCATTGAAAAGTGCAAATAACCCGAAGCTTTGTGACGCCTTTCAATATTGAAAACCCCCAGAGCGGTTTATCACACTGCTCATAAAATGGGCTCTTTCTAGTGCTCTCAATTCATTATTCATTATACAATGATGTGATATTTTGGCTTCTGTGTGTTCATAATGGATTTCCATCATCAGAATTAATCAAGAATATATATCTATATCTGTAATTTATCATGCATTAACATTTCTTTGTATATATTCAAGAATCTTGCAAATGAAATG